AGCGGCGTGCTCGGCTGAGCGCTATCCGGCGATCTGGTGTCAATGTTGGCGGTGCGCACCGTCTGGTACCCAAGCTGGGGTATATCAGGCTAACAGGAACTTCCCGGTGGGTACCAGGCAGGCAATTGCCGGCTAAAATACCCGTCCGGTAGGTACCAGTCTGATATACCCCCGGCCGGCGCGGGGTATATCAAGCTGATATACCCCTGAGTGGGTACCGCGGCCTGATATACCACGTACCGGCTTCAACGCCTGGCAAGGCCGGTTGGATACGAGAAATATATCCCGGCAAAATGGCTGAGCGAAAAACCCGGACGGGCGATAAGAGTAGTTATCTACCGGGGATCGCTGCACCGGGCACATGCGACGCACTCGAGCTACCCGGGAAATTGCCCCGGGGTGAAGCTTGCGTTGCCCAGGAACACCACCCTCCGAGGCCGACGCCCAGCCAGGTCGGTCGTCTCTTCCAAGTTCCTTCCAAGTTCCATCATGCTGCATTCATTCCTGAATGCAAGACACCAAAGTGCATTGCCATTGGACATTGAGTTGGTGTTCAACAATAATACGAAGTGTCCAATGGCAATGGCACCCTTGTGGTGCAAAAGCAGCAGGCAAGGCAAGGAGGTTTAGACAGTGGAAGATCAGCGTGTTCTTGCAGAATTGTAGAGACTAACGGAGGAAACTTTGCGAACACTTACAGTGAATGGTGGTGCAGATCGTGAGTTCCTTTTAGGGTTTCGTGCAAGGAACCACCCAGAACGAAGTCTTACTCTTGAGCCCAGGTTGCACAAGTGGAGCGCCCAGCTTGCCGACTGCCTGCTGCACTCAATGCGAAGGTCCTCTGATCCTGTTACTCCAAGTTTGTCACCCACCGTAAACATCGCTTAGAGAAAACCATGGCAAGGCCAAGCAGTAGGCTGAACCCACAGTCTTGAAACCCGAGCTTTCTGCCAGAGGAGAGCCAAGACCCAAGTTGGAGAAAGGGTTTGCTGTCACCAAGGTCAAGAAACCCTGTTCTCTCAGCACTAGTGCGGCAGTACAAAGGTGACTTTGCTTGCCGGGCCCCCCCAGTTGTGAGCATGGCGGGGCTGCCCCCCAAGCGGGCCCCCTCCCCGACCTCCAGCCCCGTGCTGGCCCCCCTGCAAACTAGCCGGCAGACGCTGATTGAAGACTCGGGGGGCGCACATATGTCGGGCTTTCATCCGTCCACCCCCGTCACGTCGCCCTCAAAGAATCCGCTAGATCAGCTGCTCACACCCCGCAGCAGCTCATTCCGGAGGAGAAACTCCACAGGGGGACCGCCGAGGGAGCCATTTTTGATAGGTGCGGGCTTCTGTTCTGAAGCTTGATCCAGCTGCATGTGACAAACAGTTTGCGTGGCCCTGTGCTAAACTATAGCATGAGCAAGCTGTGAGTCTGCTTTCCCTCTGCAGGCATCCCGGCGCCTCTGAAAGAGCACGGTAACACTTCAATACTGGCATTCCTCAACGTGTTTTTTTTTCACCAAAGCCTGAAATGAAGTTGACAGCTGTAAACCCCCGTTGCCAGGTGTCGCTGGCGGGACTGCGTCTGGCAAGACCACCGTGTGCGACCAGATCATCCAGCGGCTGCACGACCAGCGCGTGGTGCTCGTGTCGCAGGACAGCTTCTACAAGGGGCTCACCCCCGAGGAGCACCACCGCGTGGCCGAGTACAACTTTGACCACCCAGGTACGGCGGCAACGCCCGGGCCAGCGGCGAGAAGGCTGGTATTGCAGTGACTACACCACCCTGTCAGTACTCGAATGGAGATATTCGAGCGCTATGCAGAAATCACTTGGGATATGTTGTAGACCTCCCCCGCCCATTTCTTTAACCATGCAGACTCTTCTCAGTGTTCCCGTTTCCTTTGCCTAGACTATACATATGTGGAGTCAGCCCTTGTTTAGGGACTCTCTTTGTGCAAGAAAGAAGTAAAGTCTATGTTGTTATTCAACTGGAACGCTATGGATTCCATTGAAGGAATGTACTGAATCTGGGCGCTGTCCGGTTGGGCTCTCGAAGCAATTGCAGGGATCCATTCAAGAGCTAGGGTCGGCCTTGAAACCTTGCAAGTGCATGTGGCTTGAGATCTGAGCCAAGCCTTCCACCCCCTCGTACCTGTCTCCTTGACGGTTGGGCGACCATAAGATTCGTACAGTTCCTCTCTCTTCAGCAGGGAGAATGCGATGGAGTTCAATCAAAGCCTTGAAGAATGAGCTGCTATATATTCAAGCGTAAGCATTGACAGTGCGAAGCGTCACTCACCCTGGCTCTCTCTTGGCCTACAGATGCTTTCGACTCAGAGGCGATCATCAGCTGCTTGGAGACGCTTAGAAAAGGGAAAGCCGTGGACATCCCGATCTACGATTTTGTTACGCACCAGCGATCAACGGAGGTCCGAAAGGTGAGGCCTGCCCATTGTCCATACCCCATGTAGAGGGGCAATTTTGTATTTTTCTTTGGAACCCACAACCTGTCGAATAGGCTTCGCTTGTTTGGACTTGACCTGGAATCGAAAGCGAGGAACGGTCAACCGTTGTCAGGAGTTTGCTTCGAGGAGGCGTCTTTGATGCGGTCGAATTAATGCAACACACTCTGCGTACTTTAGGAAGCATTTCTTTCAAAGATAGATTTTAGATGCTGGGAAAGGACACAAACAGCAGAAGGAGATTGAGCTCACAAAGCACTTTTACGGCCGCGGTTGCGATCTGAGCCTATGTTGCTGCGTGTGTTGGTGCAGCGCAACGCGGCGGACGTGATCATCATGGAGGGCATCCTGGTGTTCCACGAGCCGCGCGTGCGCAACATGTTCAACATGAAGATCTTTGTCGACACCGGTCAGTCACGCCGCTCTCCCTCGTCTGGCTGCTCGGCTCCATTTTTCCCGACAAAAGCATTGGTGTGGGTTTGGAAGCCCCCCTGGGTGTGGCAACTTGCTCTCAGAACGCCATAGTGACGGGCTGGCAGGTGGCTCGCGCTCTTCGCTAAGGATTCTCACAGCTTCCCCTGAAGACAATATAAACTCGGAAAAAAGAGCTCAGGCCCCAAGATATTGCACGTCATCTTTCTATGGTGGCCCGAAGCTGCCTGTAATCCAAACAGTCGCCCTACCGCCCCTGACTGGCTGGTGTGTGTGGTGCAGACGCGGACGTGCGGCTGGCGCGACGCATCCGGCGCGACACTTTGGAGCGCGGCCGTGACGTGGCAGGCGTGATCGAGCAGTACGCCAAGTTCGTGAAGCCGGCCTTCGACGACTTCGTGCTGCCTACCAAGAAGTACGCTGACGTCATCATTCCCCGTGGTGGGGATAACCACGTGAGCGCCGGCCGTTCTCGACCAGATGAACTGCGAATGTTTGAACAAAGATGGGAACGGACGGCAGCGTTGTCCGGGGTGCTGCGAAGACTTGCTGGTCGATAGCCGTGTCAGCCCGAAAGCTGTGTGTGGGTGGACTCAGGAGGAAGTTTTGGAATGCAGTTGCGAGAGTCTTCATCGAGCAAAAGCGAGGATTGGCGTCCTCGACAAACGAGGTCGCGTGCAGCCCTACTCCAAAATTAACGCCTGCCACTGTCAGGGCAGGAGGCTGAGTTCTGATTGCTCGGACAGAGATACTTGTTTCTCGGAACTCGGTTGGCTGTCGTCGTCTGGACCTTCAAAATGGGCAATGGAGCGGACGTCGGTTTCCTTGACCGACCCTATGCTCTGTGATGCAGGTTGCGATCGACCTGATCGGGCAGCACATCCAGGCCAAGCTGGGGACGCACGACCTGCGCAAGATCTACCCCAACCTCTACATCGTCCCCTCCACCTTCCAGGTGCGCCCGGGGTGCACCCCAATGACGCGTAGATAGTGCAACACGCAATAAGTCCGGACGATCTTTGGCAAGCCAATCACGGCTTATTGCGAGGGCGCGGAGTGAAGGGCGAGAAATGTGGTTACAGACACGACGACCTGGTTGAGCTGTTCTTTGTTGAGCCAGCCGTTTTGCTTCGCTTGTCAATCTCAAGATCAGCGATGGCAGCGGTCGGAAGGCATCGTTGCTTGTGACCAACGGCGTTCCGAGCTCCAGCTAGGGCCCGCCACCTTGTGCTCACCCTTTTAGTAATGGTCGATCAGTTCAGGAGAAGCAAGCTGTGCGGAAAGAGAGACACCGTTGTGGAAGGTCCTTAAACGAGTGCACCCTCGTTTTGGAGGTCGTAAAACGACGGCGGAATACGTCCCCCTCGATATTGAGAAGTCTTCGGAATTAGAGAAGTGGTTCTAGTTTGTTCGACCCGCTGACCGGGACAAATTGTGTCCAAAAATTGCGGGCCAGGGGTTCCGGCTGTAAAGGATTCATGCCCCATGACCTTCTCTCTCGATTTTCTTGCACTTCACCGACCCAGCTTTACCTGGACGCGCAGATCCGCGGCATGCACACCCTGATCCGTGACCGGCACACGACGAAGCACGACTTCGTGTTTTACGCGGACCGCCTGATCCGCCTCGTCGTGGAGCACGGCCTGGGCCACCTGCCCTTCACCGAGAAACAGGTCGTCACGCCCACCGGTAAGGCCGCGCTTGCGATCCTATGTCGTTCCTTTTGGTATCACTCTTTGTTCAAGCAGCAAGGACGGGTCAGATCCATTGCAAGCATGATCGCGAGAAGAGATATTTGCTCCTTGAACTTGGTGCTATGCTCGTCGTTCATCCATCAGCAGGGCACGACTTCCATCAGTGCGCTGCCCACTATGATGACACGTCGTGGGTGTTTCGCTGCATCCCTTTCCTGCATTCGCTTGTGAAGGAGAATCTCGTTCGGTGAGAATGCCAAGAGCTTGTTGCGGAAACGCACCGCTCTAGGTGCCTCAGCGCATGTGGCTCTGTAAGACTGCCCATTCTGCACAGCTTCAACTTCCTGGCATCCGATCAAACATGCAGCAGGGAGAGGCAGCGACAGCTGTCCTCATTCCGCCTCCGCGTGCCTCTCTGCAGGCGAAACGTATGTCGGGGTGGACTTTGCAAAACGACTTTGTGGGGTGTCCATCATTCGAAGGTGAGCGCGCTACCCAAGGGACGCGGAAAACTTGGCGGTGTTTCTGCAACCGTTGACGGGAATACCGCTGATCGGCCGCTTATCTGCCTGCTCTTGCCACACAATCCGGGCCAAAATTCATTTGTCAATCTCGTCAGAAGAGAGGAAGGCATGAAAAGTTTTGCCATCATAGGAACAGGTTGCGGGTACCGGGTCTTTAAACGGCCTCGAAATGTTTCGTATAGTTCGTTCTAGTACCCAGCACGACGATTGCGACGCAGTTTCTGGAGCCTTGGTTTTTACCAAGCCCATTTTGGCGAAATTGTTCTGTGGATGCCCTTCTATGCGCATGTTTCATGATGAAATTGTGGGTGAAGTTAGAGCTAGCCAGACGGCCCTGTGCCGCCGCCCTTACCTTTTTCAAACGACTCCTGTCACGGTTCTTCCGGCAGCTTGTTTGTTTCGACCCATTTGGTACTTATCGCTGCTGGTGACCTCCCTTGCCCGTTAGTTGAGTCGAACATAGGTGCAACAGCCTGTTGAAGCAGAAGTGCGAGAACTTGACCGAGGATTCCGATTTGCGGTGCCTTGAAAACAGTCGCCAGTCGCAGATTTTGAAGCTTCTTGCGCTGCTGCAGCGGGGAGAGCATGGAAAACGCTTTGCGCGCGTGCTGTAAAGGGGTCAAGATTGGCAAGATCTTGATACACCGAGAGGGGGACAACGGCAAGCAGCTCATCTACGAGAAGTTACCCACGTGAGCACCGTCCCTCTGCGTGCCGATATGCTTTTGCCGAATCAATATGGTCTTTCCCTCTTGTTCTAAAGTATAAGCTCAGAGATTGTCCAAGTATCTTACAAGCAAGGGGCTCAGATACGTCATGCTTGCCTGCCGTCTGGCGCCGTTGTGTATACTAGTCCTCTTAAGACAACGAATGCTGACCGCTTACTGTCCGTTTGGTGCAGCGACATCGCTGAGCGGCACGTGCTGCTGATGGACCCCATTCTGGGGACGGGCAACTGCGCGTCGTACGCCATCGAGCTGCTGCTCAAAAAGGGGGTCCCGCAGGAAAAGATCGTCTTCCTCACCCTCATCTCGGTAAGCCACCCGGCCAGCCCAAACTCGTGCAGGGGAAAATTTTATTTTAAACACTTCTCCGCATCATCCGTAACCCCCATACTATGATTGTCATCATTTCGAATCCACCCGCTGGACTGGATTTTTTGGGACACGCAGTCATCGAGCCCTAAGGATTTGGAAAACCCTACCTTCCTAGGAATCTGCCCCTGTGTTTAGAGATGTTCTCGATTTCTTCCCATTTTTGGCTTGACGAAGCTGTCTTCACCCTCTCGCATCCCAGTCGCTCAGGCTGGCGAATCGGCGACGGTTTCAACGGATACACTGCTTGAAAGTATCAAGACCCAAGCAGGGTTTCTTGTGCACTCTTGGGGCTATCGTTTCATCCAAGCAGTCACATGGCATGATGTCGATTCTGGGGTAGTGGACACCATGTTGTTCCCTTCGAAAGGATCATGTGGCAGAGTGCACGCGTTGGGACAAGAAAAGCCCAACTCAAGTCAAGGATCTGTTTGATTGTGGATAAAAGTCGCACACATCTTGTTCTATCCTTACTTGGCTTGCTACATCGGGTGTCCTCCAGTGCGGCTTGCCCAGTGAGACGGTGTGAAATCGATCCGAGTCAATGGAACACGAATGGCGGCTGCGTGGTGCCGACTCCTTGCGTTGATTGGCTGACGCTTCCGATGTGATGTCCAGGCTCCCGACGGCGTCCATAAGCTGTGCACGTCCTTCCCCTCTCTAAAACTAGTAACATCGGAGATTGATGCCGGATTGAACGACGACTGGCGGGTAGTGCCCGGGGTGGGAGAGTTCGGGGACCGATACTTTGGCACAGACGACGATCCGGTGCCAACGCCCGTCCAAGGGAATGCGTTGGTTATTTGAGGGACATGAGACTAGAAATGGTTCTAAAGCACGCGCTCAACGCACGGACTTGCAATGAAAGGTGACACAGCGTAGTAGATTGACATTGAATCTGTCCAGTTGATGTTGTTTCTGACGCCACCTATAGGGAGTCGCTCGTAAATATAATTTGCATGCCATGTGTCTAATGTCTAACGGCCTGGCCCCGAGGTATCATTAGTAATGTTGGGCTAACTTAGAAAGTTAATACGTCTTGGTCGCAACGATTCAGTGAACTATCATGCTTCAAACTTGCCTGCCAAGCGCCCAATCGATTGGACTGTCTTATCCCATTTCAATCGCATTCAATGACCTTATATGCATATGTATAAGTTGGACTCAGTGTCGGACTAGATATATGTGCCGCCAGGCTCCGCGCACATGCACGCTATACCTCTAGCTATATACTAACCGGCTACTATGACAGTGATACACGTAGCTGAGTTCGCTTAGTACATATCTGAGCTGCATGTACGTATATACCCGCGCAGCCAGGCATGCATGACTTATTAGTGATTATATATATCTCGAACATATATACCTACCTACCGTATATGGACTTGCATTATCCGACATGCCAGGGCATCATGTGTGCAGTCACTGCTTGTAGAAGCCTTATTGAAGGTAGGCGCTATAGTGCCCATGCAGCCTGCTATGTATTATACAATAGGCCGTCTCGGCGCAGTCGGACTCGACCACATGTATGACCTGGCAGAGATCCGCACGGTACACTACTCACTGTACACTTCCAAGTTCCATCACACAGTCGCATGCATGTGAAATGCGTGTTAACAACCTAGCTAACCGAGTACGAACACATACTTAGCGCCGGTCAGTGGCGCCACAAAGGAACATGTCCATCGGTGTTATCCTTCAATATGCTCCGACAACCCTGAGTATTAGGCAGCCCTAGCTGACTCAGTGAGTCTAGCTCCACTAATTATGCGACCATCATGCAATACGCACCTATAAGCTGAACCACAGCAATCTGCCTGCCACATCCCATCCAACGTCAGAACACAAGCGTTCGGACTCCGTACCACACTTACAAAGTCACACGTGCTTTGGAATGGCCCTATTTCAAGTACATCAAATTCCTTCCAGAACCATCGGGGGAAAAAGCAAACTTAGCACCGTCCTGTACTTAGAAATTGACTGTTCAGATCTCGATATTCCTTTTGTGCATCACGTTATTCACTGTACATAGCTAATCAAACCTTACGGACCTGTCGCATATGGTACTTGACCCGCCGCCTGTTGTGGTTGCGCTTGCTTTGACCTCTTCTTCTTTCTGCAGAAACTCAAACTTCCCGTTCATGCCTTGGAACATAGCTAGACCTGATTGCAAACTCCTGGACAAGCCTGAACTGCGCCAAGCTCTCGAATAATTCACCTCTCTAGCACTGAAGGGGACTGCGCCAAGCCTCAAGGGAACTTAACAAAATTCTCAGACGATTCACATCTCTAGGACTCACAACAGGATTCTAGTTACCATCAGGGTCGGTGTACAGCGGCACTCCCCACCAGTCACACACAAAGTATGGAAGGATACAAGCTAACACTTGGCTTTGCGAGCATATACTAAAAAGCACTTCATGCCCTGAGCAATGGAGCGCGAACTTACATGTTGTGCAGGAAGTGCGTGAAATTGCTCTTGTCGATGCCAATCTGGCTGCAGAACTGCTGGATGACCGACTTGTCCTGCTTCGTCGTGGTCCAGTTGATGCTCTCCGCAAATCGAAGCATGGCATCCCGCTGCACACCACAGGGACGTTGAGTCCGTTTTCGACACAGACCCTTTGAATACCCGATCCACCTTTGGCTGAGCACAGTGCGATCGAAAGAGAACTACAGGTTATCTTCGATTCTCAAACATCAAAAGCAACCTCACTCATGGTACTCTTTTGATATTGCAGTGGCATACACACCTATCCTTCCATCCATGGAGGCACACGTCCGGGCTGCTGAGAAAACCGGGCCAACTGTCTTTGGCTCTGTGATTGAAGACCCGGCCATTCTGATTTGCCTTTCCTGGTGCGTTTTAGTACATATTGTTCAGTTTGCAGCAACTGACTTGTTGAGAACCCAATGGGAACGACCTTGTGTCAAGCACGAGCGGAGGCCTTCTCATATGTAAGCCCGGACTGCCCTTTCCAAAAAGTTTGTCTAGACAGAATCAACCTTGTACGAAAAGATCAGGCCTAAAAGCTTGGTAGAATGAAAAGGCGGTCTGACGGAACAACAATCCTGCGTTTCACAACCCTCTGGAGCCACTCTGAAATGAAGTCCTCTGCTATTAGGCAAGCCGTAAGAGCCTACATAAGTTGCCATTTTTACCTGCTCTGGCGTGAACTGACTCCTCTTCCGCTTCTGCCCTGCGACTGAGTCAAACGGCGCAGCGCCTGCTCCCCCAGCCCCCTTGCCCTTCTTGAAGCCCTGAGAAATGTTGTAATTAGCAGTGTAGATGGAGCTTGCATCTTAGATTGCCAATCAGACAATAAGATGACAATTGGATGGATTCGCCAAAGATGCAGAAATAGAGGACGTCGAAAACCGTACAATGCCTTTACAACAACCTTGTGCATTTTGCAACCTACTGGCCAATCCATCTTTGGTATATTGATCCACTAAGAGCCTGCCAACTTCCATTCAGGACCTTTTCTGATGAAGCTTTGAAGATGCTGGGAGTGATTCTGCATTCATGAAGATGGCAACTCACCGCTTTTGGCGCAATGGTGGCATAGAGGATCGGCCTCTGTCCATCTTTGAGATGGAAATTTCGGTGGCACCCTACAAGAGGAGATATTAATATGTTAAAAGCAGCATCTTACAAGAAGAAGCAAAGACACAGTTGCATTCTGGAGAGTAGAGGTTTCCAGGAGGTAGCTCCAAACATCCCAAAAGTCAAACAGAGCTGCAAAGCTGCTATTACTTCAGAACATCCAGGTAGTGATATGGTCCGCCATGCATAACTTTGTGGACAGAGAGGTCTCATTGAGCAAATCTGTTCAACCGGTTTTGCAGGAAAAAGATAAGCGCAGTGTAACACCAACAAGCTCAGGCAGCAGCAGAAGCAAGACAGATCATATATCGAATCAACCCTGAGGCACTTTTGGATGGGTCTGCGTCCACGTTGCAACAAACCACCACAGGATGAGGTGGCAAAGCTGTGGTATCAAGCTTGAATCTGTCGTTGTCGGAAAATCCTCTCCTTGACTTACAAATCCAATCTAATTTGAGAGCACAGTGGACATCGAGTTCACAATGTCCAGAACGAATAATTAAAGGTCCACAGCGCACATCAAACAGAGATTGTCACTGTGTCTTGCCTTCGTGGCCAAAAGGATGTGCTGACCTGGCTTAGGAAGTTGTCAGCAGTTGCTCTTTGGCCCCAACCAAGATGATGGGTAAAGAGACCCCTGGGTGGGCCACTCAAGCAGTAAGAGCACTCACCGCAGGCAGCACACACCAGGTGCTCTGGAGCAGAAGGGTCCAAAGACAGGGGCAGGAACTCTGTGCATCCATCAACCGCGTACGGTGCACCTGACCTGAGAGCATGGTTCTTATTGCAGGCCCCCCAGTGCGGCCTCTTCTCAAGCATGCCCGCTTCTGGGATGACTGCAGGGGAAAAGAGTACTCTTGCGCAAGTTTTTGTGTCAGGAGCCTGCAACAAGGCCGTGCCTCGTGACAGTCATGCAACTCTGGCACATAGCTAAAACTCCTTACTAAAGTATGTGATTAAGACAAGGTATCAGGTAGACCCCACTACCTACCTACTAACCCTTCAGTACAAGCTGCCGTTTCTAGTTGCTAATGCACGAATAAAGTACGCCTGTTCTTCACAAAGGCCCGACACTACTGCCGTCTCTTCCGCCTCCCCCTACTCAAACAGCTAGAGTAAAGTGTGCTTAGGGCCATCAGAATAGGACTGACATGTTGCACCCAGGTCTCTTCACACTCAAAGCAGTACTTTCATGAGTCATTGCATTGCCTCTGCTCATCCTGTTTGCATGCAAATCCTAGAAGAGCACCACCAGCTTTCAACCAATATAGTAAAGAAAACATGTCCCTTACCTGCCAGATTCTGGAATGGCGGGGCAGGGGGAATGTCCTGCACCTTGAGAGCAAGGTGCTCATCCACTGGAGCAGCCATTGAGGCACTAGCAGACGCAGAACCTCGAGTCAACAAGAAAATGCCGATAAGAATGCGATGCAAGATTTACTTGCCCCTGCGTACAACCTGACTCACAACAAACAGATGGATACCTCCCCAAACACTGGCTGACACTGGACAGTAACGTCCACCCTTCCAATGCAGCTGGGGCTCGAGTTCACTTTTGAACCTGCTTCCTGGTCGTTGTCCTGCGCTAACCTGGTCTAACCACGGGCGCCTCTCTGTAGCCCAAGAAAGTCGGTCAATCGCGGAACTGGAGGAACTTCAAGGTCAACCACCTCCTTCTTTCTTCCTTCTTCCTTCCTCTTTACCACAGTCCTCTGCGGCAGATGGAAGGTTGTTTGCCTCATTCCAATAGCATTGAGTTTGCCATCGAGCAAGTTCGGATAGAGGAATATGCTTAACCAGAGTCCACAGGGTAGCAGCTACCGTAGCTTGCGGTTGAGTGGAACCCACGTTGACTCCAGCTTCAAAGTCGAGGTTATCCAGTGGTCCATCTGTAACCGTCCATGCGCTGCATAACCGGCTCTGACCAGTCAATCCTGACCGTACGATAAATCTGCGAGGGTTTGTCACGCGCTGGAAGCCGGCCGGCCGCCGGCCGGGCCCGCGTTCATACGGGGCGGCGCGAGTCTCCAATTCCCCCCAACTTTCTCAGCCGTCCGATGGGCCGGGTTCATCCGGGCGCCGTCGATCTAGGATTTAGCTGAACCGAACGGAAAGTGCCCGGTTTGGCCCGATAACCATACGCTATGGACGCTGGGCCACCTTCAAACCCCATGCAGTACAACCAGTGTGATAGTGTGTCACTGCAGGGCAGAATTGCCGGGGCCTGAGCGCCTTTCCGATGGGAGTGGGAGCAAGCCTGAAAGAAAACGACTAGGGAGCTGGTCGCGCCGCAGCCCGTCCCAGCTCCAGTAGCTCCTGGTGTGCAATCTAAGGTGTGTATGTGTATGCAGCTTGCCATTTCTCTGATTCAGGTCTCTTGCGGGTGCTCAGATGTTGTGGTGTTGTGGAAAACTCCAATAGAGTAGGTTGACGTGCTCTTGAGTGAGTAACTTTTTGACGTACTGACAGTCTCATATGGCAAGTCAAGCCAATGCATCAAAAGTCGTCGACACGTCTTCGCATCCACTGAAGCCATGCCGCACTGGGCGCGTTTCAGGCTTGAAATGAGCTGTACACGAGATGGAGGCCAGTCAATCTGCATATGATAGGTTGAATTCTCTTGATGTATAGAACAGATTGTGCAAATTGTCACGGGCCAGCTAGGCTTGGCCCCCGGGTCCTGCACCTTTTTTCAAGAGGTTGTTCTCGATGGTGGGGCTTGTCAATCTGCTACAGGTGAAAATTTTTGGATGTATAAAGCAGGCTGTGCACTTTGACGGCGCCTGGGCAAGACGTGACAATTTTGACTCCAAGCCGCGCGCTTAATGGAGAGTACCTAGTGGACTAGTGTGGCGGCCGCGGGGGCTTGTCAAAATGCATTACTTGAAGATTCTTCACTGATGTATAGAAAGTCTGTGCAAATTGTCAGGGGCGAGACTTTGCGACTCAGATCGACTCCAATCTGCGCGCTGTTTTTGGGGAGAGTGTTGTAATCGATGGTGGGGCTTTGTCAATCTGCACATGTTAAAGATTCTTCCTGTATAAAAAACCCGTGCAAATTGTCAGGGGCGGGGCCTACGAATTCGACCTCAAGCCGTGCGCTTTTTT